GGGCCAGGTGGACCAGGTGGACCAGGAGGTCCAGGTGGACCAGGTGGACCTGGAGGGCCTTGGGGTCCTGGGGGACCCGGAGGACCAGATGGACCAACAGGACCTACAGATAAAACACCACTACCAGACGTTGGTGAACCAGGAGGCCCTGGTGGCCCTAATGGTCCTGGTGGGCCAGGGGGACCTGGTGGACCTGGTGGACCAGGTGGACCTGGTGGGCCTGGTGGACCTGGTGGACCTGATGGACCTGGAGGTCCTGGTGGACCTGGAGGACCAAATGGGCCAGGAGGACCAAATGGCCCTGGTGGACCAGGTGGACCAACACCATCTTCTGCTGAGGAAGACAATATACCAAATGATGTAGGGAAACCATTGGGACCAGGCGGTCCTGGAGGTCCAGGCGGTCCAGGAGGACCAGGTGGCCCAGGGGGACCAGGTGGACCAGGAGGACCAGATGGTCCAGGGGGGCCGAATGGTCCATCTCTGGGCCCTGGTGTAACTCTTCCTGAAGATATTGGTAATGCTGGAGGACCTGGTCAACCATTAGGCCCTGGTGGACCACTTGGACCTGGTGGACCAGGTGGACCTGGTGGACCTGGTGGGCCAGGAGGACCAGGTGGACCCCCGTCAGTGACAGGTAGGTACAGGATGTTATCTTAACTGGTTCAGGAAATATTAAAACAATATTCTAAATGTAAATATAGAGCATTCAGCAACAATGTTGATTTATGACTTTTTGTAGGTGTAATACAACTATCAACAATACCAGAGTTTATTGATGAAAACATCATAGTAATGGTCAATTGTAACAACTGGTAAGTGTATAATTTTAATCATAAATATTTATAATTTGTATCAACTTTCTTGAAATTGTATTTATGTCATTTAATACATAGTATCTCCATTTATTTCTATGTAGAATTAAACACCATGCTCAAAATTGATATACAAAATAAATAAAATAAAATATTATAAATATAATATAATAAAACACTCTCTAATTTTGTGGCAATTCCCAAAGTTTACAACAGCAGTTATCTGATTCACGTAGCTTGTATATGCCCTTGTGACAAATAATTAAAAAAGTTGTTGATGTAAATTGTTAATCAAACTTTATTTTACTATTGGAACATGCTCTTTATAGTAAAATATGTTTAATTTATGTTGATTTATGCATATAATACACCCAACAAATAAACAAACAAAATAAATGTGTGAGCAATATTGAAGCAACCTTACTTATGTCTTTTTGTACTAAAATGCAATAAATATATTTTTCAGCACTTGTGATGAAGGACACCTTGATTGTTCTGACGAGGAATGTTCTGGTTAGTTTTCTATCATTTCTCTCCACATTCAGAATACATGCATGTAATGTTGAAATGAACAATGTGGTCTTATAATATATAAAAACACAAAATTTGTATGCACTTTAATGTAGTTGATGGTGGATGGACATCATGGACTCCATGGTCTTCATGTTCCAAGACATGTATACTGGATGGAGACAGCAATTCATTGAAGTTGAGAAGCAGATTTTGCACAGAACCAGAGCCTAAAGGAG